GGAGTGTGAGGAGCTGCCCCGGCCCTTCCACCAGCAGGTAGCGGCTCTGCCCCCCGACACCCCCGTCCCAGACTGGGGGACACAATCCCTGCCCGCTGATTCTCCCTCCTTGTTGCAGGTGCTGGTGCCCGGAGGCCACCAAATCTCACTGCTGTATGAGTTCCTGGTGCCCTGCCTGTGCATTGAGGTGGGTTACCCTCCCCTACAGCCATCAGAACCCCTTTGCCCTTGCATGAGATGGGGAGGATAGGGCATATCTTGCTCTGACCATCATGCTGTGCCTCCCCAGGCCTCCTACTCCCACCACGACAGCCCACGGAGCAAACACTGCCCCTTCCGTGACCGGCCAGATGCCTGTGAGTGCCTGGTGCCTGTGGGGAGGGGAGCTGAGTCCCAAGGGTGTCCCTGGGTGTCTCCCCACCCCACCGATGTGGTGCCCCACAGATGGCCCCGAGCTGTGGTCCTCGGTGCACTTCCACGACTTCAGCACCAGCAGCAAGGACCAGATGGCAATGCTGCTGAGTGCCAGCTGCCCCCTGCACCCACGGGCCACCCTCTGCTGGAGGGAGGCAGCAGATGAGGCTGCACCCTGTCACGACATCCCCAATTCCACAGCCAGTGAGGATGAGCAGGTGAGGGCTCCTGATCTTGAGGTGTCAGAGGATGTGGGACCATGTCACTGGATCTCAGGGTCTCTGTAGGGCAGTGGGTGGGCACTGTGGCTGTGTGGGTCAGAGATGGTAACTGTGACTCATTCTCCATTTGTTCCAGATGTACGTACTGGACAAGGTGGATGTGCACCCCCAGCTCTGCTTCCGAGTAAGCCCCTGTGGGTGGGTGGGCACCATCTCGGAAGGGGCTGGGGGCTGTGGTGGGTGAGGGCAGCTCACCCTGCCCTTTGCTGATCCCACCTCCCCTCAGTTCTCCTACAGGAATAGCAGCCATGTGGAGTGTCCCCACCAGTCAGGTGAGTCCTATGAGTGGGAGGCAGCCCTAGGCTAAGCCCTGCCCTGGGGTCCCTTGCACCCCTCACCTTGCTGGGCATCCTGCAACTTCCCCTCTCTCTCTGGTGGCCGCAGAGACTGCCTGGAATGTCTCAGTGAGTGTCTGGGGGCTCCAGCTGCACCTGCACCTCACCTCCCGCATCCCTGCAGCCTTCAGTGCAGCCCTGTGCCAGCGCCGGGGTGGGCAGTGTGAACCCGAGGCCCCGCTCTACACTGTCACACAGGTGAGTGCTGCAGGGCTGGGGGACATGGTGGGGACAGACCCACACTGACCCTGCCCTTGTGCTTTGCAGCCAGAGGGCTCTGCTCCAGGGGAGTTGGCGCTGCTGCTGCCAGTGCAGGTCCTGGGCAGCTGCGTGCTGGTAAGGTGACCCTTGTGCAGGCATCTGTGCTGTGGGGGACCCAACATGGTCCTCCTCTGACCCAGCCCCTTCCCCAGGTGTGGCGCTCAGACGTGCATTTTGCTCGGAAGCAGCTGCTCTGTCCCGATGGTGAGAGGGGGTCCTGCAGGGGACTCAGGGGGCAGTGGAAATGGGCAGACAGCCCCTTTACTGCCCCTCTCCCAGTCTCCCGCAGGCACTTCGGGCTGCTGGGGCTGGTGCTGGCACTGGGACTGGTGGTGACTGTGCTGCTCCTCAACTGCCGTGGTGCCTGGAGGCCAAATGATGGTGAGGAGCACCCAAGGGGGCTGCAAGAGGGACGGCAGGAGGGGCTGGAGTACCAGGGGGTGCCAGTTCCTGGGCTGCAGGGGGTCCCAGGGTGGTGGATGGCAGATGCTGTTGGATCCCAGAGGATGCCAGTAGCACATGGAGCTGAGCTGTCACTGCTGTCGCCTCCACCCCGCAGGTGTCCCTGGCAGGCGCCCCGTGCTGCTGCTGTACTCGCCCGACTCCGAGGAGCACCTGGGGCTGGTGTGTGCCCTGGCCGAGCGGCTGCGCACCGGGCTGGGCTGTGACGTGCGTCTGGACCTGTGGGAAGCGGGTGGCCTGGGCCAGGCGGGCGCCCTGCCCTGGCTCTACGCCCAGCGGGGCCGCGTGGGCCGCCAGCGCGGCACTGTCCTGCTCCTCTGGAGCCGGGGCAGCGCCCGGCTCTTCCATCGCTGGCAGGTCGGGATGGCCGACGGCACGCCCGGGGATGCCCACGACATTTTTGGGGCAGCTATGGCCTGCCTGCACGGGGAGCTGGGGGCGGCGGGCCGTGGCAGCGGGTGGGTCCTGGCCTACTTCAGCCGGCTCTGCAGCCCCCGCGATGTCCCCCGACCCCTTCGGCCCCTGCCCACCTACCGCCTGCCCCGACAGCTGCCCGGGCTGCTGGGGGCGCTGCGGGGCAGCCCCCCGGCCCCTCGGCACTGCCGCTGGGGCAGGGCTGGGGCCCTCCTGCACCGCCTGCTGGACGTGGGGGCCAGGGAGGGCAGTTCCCCGCCCCGGCCCCCCGGGGCAGCTTCTGGCACCTGAGTGCCCAGGCTGGGCCTGAGCTGGGCATGGCCGCAGGGGGTGCAGGGCTGGGTGCAGCCCCCCGGTGAGGGCACAGCTTCTGCCAGGAAGAGGCAGGGCTCAGGAGAGCATGTGCCCACTGCAGCGGCAGGAGGGGCACCCATGGGTGCCCCGGGAGGGGCTGCGAGGGTCCGAGCAGGACTGGCCTCAGTCATGGAGTGTGCTGCTGGGGCTGGAGTGAGCATCCAGCTGTCATCTGTGGCCAGGAGCAGAGATGCTGTCCCAAGCAGGGGCAGCTTTATTCCCATACAGGGACCTGCTCCAGAGGAGAGCCCGTAGAAGCCCCTTTGGACGGCACAGCCGAGGAATTGGGGTGGTGCAGGAAGAAGCTGAGAGATGGGGAGGCTCCCTGCCCTGCCCACGGACAGGTGGCTGGAGGGGCGGGTGCTGGGCACGGCCCGGCCCTGCTCTTTGCCTCGACATCGCCAGCAGGACTTGGTCTGGATTGGAAGCAATAAAGGCGTCATTTCACCCTGCCCTGTTGTCTCAGTGGTGTACCGGGGGAGATTCTTTGGTGCCCTGGAGGACCGGGGGCTGCCCAGTGCTCTCTGCAGCACGGAGGGGCAAGAGGACGCACCCGGCTGGGCACAGCCTGTACCGGCACGGCTGCCACACCGTGTCCCACAGCCGCGGCGGCTGCCTGGGGCCAGCCTGGCACCGTGCCCGTGCCGTGGAGCCCTGTGGGGCCCCGAGCCCTCCGCAGGGGTGGCGGGACACGGAGCCCTCCGCGGCCGGTCGGGAGCAGCAGGCCCCACCCAGGGCGGCTGCTGACGCCACGCAGGGAGCCGGGTGTCCGGGATCGGAGCAGGAAGCGGGAGCCGGCGGCGGCGGTGGGGCCCGTGGAGCCTGTAGAGGGCTGCCGGGGACCAGCCGGCGTGGGGCCGGGGCACGCCGAGGCCCCGGCCCCACCATGCGCGCACTGGGGCAGCTCCTGCTGGTGCTGGTGGCGGGGTCGGCGGGTGGCCGTGGGGATCCCCGGGACACCCTGGCCTGCTCCCAGGTGGGTTGGTGTCCCTAGCGCGCCGGCATCGGGCACCTGGCACCACCGCCGGCCTCACCCCTGCCTCCCCCAGGGCCTCACCTGCCGCCTCTTGGGTAAGTGCATCACCCTGCCATGGCCCCTACCGACCCGGGGCATGGGGACTGCACCCCACACTGCCCTCTGTGTCCCCCCAGACACCGATGTGCTGTGCGGGACAGAGCCCCCGGGGCCCAGGCAGGAGCTGGCCCTGGCCCGTCTGCGGCTGGAGCCGGCGCTGCGCTGCACCGAGTCCACGGCCTGTGCGCCCTGCCTGGAGGCGCGGGTGCGCCTGGCCTTGGCCCCGGCCACCGGCACCGCCGCCGAGTCCCCCCTCTCCGTGCAGCCGGGCACTGCTGGGACAGAGGACAGCGGTGATGGGGGACAGCGGTCACCAGCGACTGGGGCCACCCCGTCCCAGCCCAACGTTACTGGGCTGCTGCTGCTCTCTGGGCACACGTTTGCCTCATCCCGCTGCGTGGCCGTGGAGGTCTGGGCACCCTTGGGCCCCGCACTGCGTGGCCGAACCGTGGTACGTAGATGTGGGGCACCGGGGTCAGTGTCCCCACACTGTCAGTCCCTGGGCACTGGGGATGTGGGCACTGAGATCAGCACATATCTGTGGCATGGGGGTCCCGTTCCTGTGCCCCAGGGAGGGGGGGTGGGTGCTGGCGGTGCCGGTGCCTCACCGCAGTGGAGTGGTGGTTTTCCTGCCCAGGGCTGGGTGATCTTCCGGTGCTTCGAGGCGCCGCTGGGCTCCGAACTGCACATCTCAGCATACGTGAAGTCACGGGGCCGGCAGAGGCTGAGCCAGCAGCAGCGAGTGCCAGGTAAGCCCCGGCAGGTCCCCTGCAGTGGCCCCAGCCCCTCTGCCCACTGATTCACTGTCCCCACAGACTGTTCGTGGCCCGCAGCACAGGATGCTGTCCCCCAGTGCCAAGGTAGGTGCCAGCATCACCCCGCCTCGGTTTGCATCCCCTGGGGAGAGCCGGGCAGTGGACACCAGGGGTGAGAGTGACCCTTGGGGTGCCATGCCCCATGCCATGGTGCTGGGCGGGCAGAGCCAGGAGCGGGGTGACCTCAGCTTCCTCTCACACAGTGCCCAGGCTGCGAGTCTCCCCGGGGCAGAAGGAGGTGGTTGTGGAGGTGGAGGGGGCTGCAGTAGGGCACAGCTACACACTCCGGCTCTACCACAACCATAGCCACGGCACCAGTGTGCCAGGGCGTGTGGTGACCATGGTGAGTATGCACCCCATTCCCTGACCCTCCACCCTGTCTGTTCTCCGGTCTCTGCCCTCCTCCCCGTTCCCGAGAAGCTGTGTCTATGTTATAGGCAGTGTGCTGGGAGAGGGTCCCCTGAGAGCAGATCCCCCTGGGTGACCCTGCTGGTGGCCATTTGCCACGGGGTAACCCACATCTGGTTGCTGGTAGCAGAGCAGTCCCATGAACTATGTCCTGCCCACGGATGAGGTGCTGCCTTGCCTCTGCCTGCAGGTGGGCATCTGATCGGGCACTGTGGGGGTGGCAGGATAAGTGGCCTCTAAAGAGGGGCTCCAAGCTTCATATATCTCCCTCTGGCATCCCAAAGGGGCCGGCCAGATCACAGCATGAATGCTTTTCTTGTCTTTTTCCCCACTCACAGGTCTGGCCGGAAACCCAGGACCCACCACGGGCCACCCTGTGCCCCTTCTCGCATGGTACCTTCACTCTGAGGCTGGGTTTTAGGGGGTGGGACACAGGGGGACTTGAGGGGACACCACAGGGAGTGACACTCCTGTCCTGGTGCCGCTGCAGATGCCGAGGCCTGGGAGCGACTGTGGGCGCGGAGCCGGCTGGTCCTGCACATCGAGGGGCAGGTCCTGACCTGCTCCCTCTCAGCCCCCTGCGACCTCCTGGCCGAGCTGGTGCCCTGCTGGCAGCCAGTGCCCTCCAGGCCCTGCCAACCCCTGCCTGGCCTGCAGCAGCCTGCTCGGGGGAAGGTGAGGGGCTCTGTGGGGCGCTGGGGGCTTTGGGAAGGATGCTGGTGACAGTTACAGAGCATCCCTTGCACTCACAGGAACCCCAGGAGTTCAGAGGGCTGTGGCCACACCCCAACCTCTGCGTGCAGGTAGGACACCACTCTGCCCCACAGCTGCCCCATGGGCAGCCCCACATCACCCTCAAGCACTGTTAATCCTCTCTCTGGGCAGGTGTGGAGCAGTGGGCAGGTCCGGCTGACCCAGTGCCTGCGGGACCGTGAGTGTTGCTGGGGTGGGAGGGTAGAGGCAGCCTGTGGGTGCAGCTGAGGGGGGGGACCCCTCCTTGGCCTCCCCTCACACCTACCCAGCCCTCTGGCACATTCCCAGGAGCGCTGCCCGGCCGCCCCGATGACCTCCTGCTGCTGGAGCATGGGGGGAATGCCTCACTGTGTGCCGTGGAGAGGGGTGCCTGCACACCCCTGGCCAGCTTCACCAGCAGGGTAAAGAGGAATGGACCCCCATGTCCTGGCAGCAGTGGCACTGGTGGCACAGGGACCCCTGTGTCCAGCAGTGGTGGCACTGCTGTCTGACCTGCTGTGTTGCTGCAGGGAGCAGGGCACCCTGGGCTGCTGGAGCAGGATCTGCAGCGGGACGTGGCAGGGGGGCAGTGCCAGCAGGTCAGTGTGAGTGGGCAGTGGGCTGTGGGCAGGGACTGGGCAGTGTCTGACGTGTCCCTGTGTCCCCCACAGCTGTGGCACCCATCGAACAGAACTGGGGTTACACTCTGGGCCTGTCCCCTGCACAAGTGTGAGTGTTGACAGCCATGCTGGGGGAGAGGAGGGATAAGGGAGGGCTGAGGGAGGAAACCCCCCTGTGGAGCCACTGGAGACCTTTGTTGGGTGCTGGGCTGGGGGCTGTTGGTGGATGCAGACCCTGCCCTGCAGACCTGCGTACCCGCTGGGCCCTGGTGTGGATGGGGGTGCTGCTGGGAGCTGCCTGTCTCCTGCTGCTGCTCTTGATGAAGAAGGAGGACATGAAAGGTGAGTGGTGCCCTTCTGGGGGCTGTGCCTGGCCTGGGACCTCTCCTGGGACCTCACTGCCTCTCCTCCCTGCAGGATGGCTGAAATCCCTGAGGGCTGGCTATGGCTCCAGTGGTGAGTGTGGGTTGAGCCTGAGGCCTTGGGGGGAGTGGGCAGTCTGTACCTATCCCAGAGGGGTCAGAGGACAGAGTGAGGGGGTCCCCCACCCAGATTAGTTCATGTTTCCTTGCCTGACAGGGTAGTTAGGGGTGTAAGGAAACGAGAAGAGGGAGAAGAGGGTGAGAACCCTATGGGAGGTGGGAGGGGGCAGATTGCAACCTGTCTCCCACCATGCCTGTCCCTTAGGGTAGGTAAAAGATTTGGCAAGGGGACTGGGGGGCTCACATCAGTGGTGGTCTCAGCTGCTTCCCATTGTGGCTGTGCTTTAGCTTGGGTACAGGGGGTGCTGCAAGGCTCGGCTGACAGAGGCAGGGGACGATCTCCCCTGTCGCGGGTGCCTCCCACCACAGGCTGGGTACAGGGTGCCCAGAGGGATCCGGGCACTGATGATCTCCCCCCCAGGTCCTTTACAAGGCCGGCGGGCCCTGCTGGTGCACGCAGCAGAGCCGGT